GCCTCACGACAGAGTCAGCCTGAGCACCTGGACCAGTGAAGCAGGAAGTGTGGAATGTTATTCGCAATGAAGCCATGTCATCTGCTGGAAAATAGATGGAATGGAAGATAATCACACGAGAAAAGCCAAACTCAGAAGGACAAATACCACACATTTTCTCTCATTATGCAGAATCTAGATTTAAAAAAAAAAAATGGCAGGCAGCATGCCTTTAATCCCAGTACTTGGGAGGCAGAAGCAGTTGGATCATTGTGAGTTCAAGGCCAACCTGATCTGCAGAACTAGTTCCAGGGCAGTCAGGGCTATGCAGAGAAACCCTGTCTTGAAAAAAAAAATTAGATGATATCCAAGTATTAGTGGGACCATTGGGGATGAAGGATCAATGTAAAGGGGAAAAAACGTAAGAGATGATGAAGAGAGTTCTATAAAAATGCATTGTATACATCCACGAAAATGCCACAATGTACAAACAATATATGCTATTATAGCATATACAATAATACTTGATAGTATATAATATTGTATACAAGTTTGAGATCCTGAGTTCAGATTCCCAGCACCCATGTGAAAAGCTGGGCATGGCAGCATATGCCTTACCACTGGGGAGGTGGACACAGGCAAATCCCTGAGCTCACTGGCTAGTCTAGTCAGTTATAGTGTCAAAGTAATCAAGGCAGATACCCTGTGTTGGTATCTGGCCTTCACTTGCATGCACATCCCACAGGCACACACAAAAAGAATGAACGTTGTCATGGACCAGAAGTGACCAAGGTAGAGATGTGGTCACTTTTAAAACTTAGTAAGTTTCATCATCACTTCTGCCTCCACTCTGGTCAAACACCTTTTCCCAAGCTCTGTTCTTCTCAGCCTCTTCCCTCCCACAGTTGGTTTCTGTACAGACACTAGAACAATCCCTTCATAGATAGATAGATAGATAGATAGATAGATAGATAGATAGATAGATAGATAGATAGATAGATAGATAGATAGATAGATATACAGATAGAGATAGAGATATAGAGATATATTTCTTTTTGTCCAACCACCTCTGATTTCTTTTCCGAAGTTATTTTGGATGTACCAGAAAAGCTGGAAATAACTGTACATGCTCCACTCTGCTTTCCCCGATGTTAATCTCTTACACAGCCATAACAGAATGGTCAACACCAGGAAGTGGACACTGGCGTGACACCATTAACTAACCCACTCACACCCCACTCATTGCTCCACCCACCTGCTGCTTCTGTCCTGAAACTGCATCTAAGGCCCGCCTTGCAGCTAGTTGATTCTTCCTTGGACTCCTCCCATCTGTGGCAGGCGCCAGCCTTCTCTGTCTTTCGTGGCCTTGACTAACACTGTAGAAGAGCAGTGGGCAAATACTAAGTAAATTCCATCTCGTCGAAGACAGGAGGAGTGGGGAGAATAACGAGAGAGGCGATTTTGTCAAAGAATTTGAAAGCTGGGGTTCATGAACAAATCGTATAGAGAGCAAAGCTAACTAAAGTGGATTCAAAGAGAAAACTCTTAGGAGGCACTGTGGACCATGTCTGTAATTCTAGCA